GAGTAGTGTCATCCTGATCCTGGATCCTTCTGGGCCAGAAAATTCTGGTTTCCCAACCTTGTATGCATGTCATCTCAACCATCAATCATCCTTCCAACATTTCCCAAACCCTAGACACAGTGGAATGGAAATGTGAGGGCATTGGGTGTCTCCATCAACTCCTTCCAAGTCCAGTTGCTGGCTATCAGTGCATATAATTTGCTTTTTTGGGACTACTTGACCAGTGTTCCCTATAAGCTGAGGGCCTAGGCTGCCACCCAAGAGAGATTCAAATGTGCCAATCTGATTAGCAGAGAGCTCACAGCGCCTTTAGCTGTCAGCATGTTTCTATTGGAGGTGTGTATTGCACATGCCTAGTGCACATAGCAAAATTTATTCTGCGCATGGATGACAGAAATTAGAGGGAACATTGCTGCAGACAGATTCTCTTAGTACTCACGTGTCCCCACTTTAGCCTTTAGTTTCTTGCTTCATGTGGCCCCTTTCCATGAAGATTGCTTTTTTGTAGTCATCATCTTGGCTAGAAGTGTTGGTGAACTTGGAGCAGTGATGGCAGATCCTCTGTGTGATATACTGCATTAAGAATAAGGCTTCTTTGCATCTACTTCCCAAGTGTACCTTACAATAATTTCAGAATTTCACCGTAACCATTCGATTCACTTATCTATGTTTTTCCCAATACTGCATGATTTTTACCTGCAGAAAACAAAACCAGTCAGGAAGTTTCGGAGACTATTCATTGTAATAGCGCTGTCAGAGGGTATGTCATCTCCACTCAGAGAATCTCCAAATGGATCTCTGGCTGCATTCTATTCTATCAGTTAGTTATCAAACCTGACTCACCTCCACTCCTCCAATGGGATAGCAGTTCATTCCACCAGATTTCAAGCAACAACTATGGCATCTCTTCAGCAGTTCTCTCTCCTTGAGATCTGTAAAGCGGCCACATGGCGCTCTGTTCATACATTTCTCTGATGCAATATGCAGGCATAACCCAGAGTGGGATGCAGCTAGAGACCACACTTCTTGAAGAACCTCCAGTTACAAGTAAATAACCTCCTCACACAATCCTGATTTTACAAAAATTTCAGTTTGTATATTGCAAAGTCTTATTTTTTATCAGATTACTGTTAAATTGATGACCATACTTATTGTTGTGACCTGTTAAGTTTTTTATCTATGTTTTATGAGTTATTCTATCCTTGCAGTTTTATTTACAAGATTATTTAAATAGATGACTAATTTCTGAGTTAGAGTCCACAGAAGCAGTAACTACCCATATTTAATTTGATTTCTGAAATAATTGCTCTAGAAAAATATAACTTGTTTTCATTTGTAGCAATGTATTTGATTCCTGGATTTCAGCGAGCAAATATGGTGTCCTCATATGTTGGAGAGAAAGGCAACTAACTATTTTATGAAGAAAGTTAATGTATTTATTTTTTTACACCTTGTTTGCCCTTTTACTTTTTAAAGGAAGACCTATTGTTGGATTTTACTTTTAATGAAACATGCCACTTCTATTGAAATAGAGCATCTCTTTCTGAAAATGCTGTTCCTTGGGCGCACATAATACTTTGGTTGCACTGCTTTCATGATTTTTTTTATAACTAGTTTTTTACCAAAAAAAAAGTATATGCTTATTTTTAGTGAGTGTTGTCGTGAACTGTTTAATCTTCTCAATGTGATTCTCTAATATATGGGAGAATAGATAATTTCTTGTTTCCAAAGAAACTATAGTTACAATTATAATAGAGCCACATTTTCCCTCCCTTTTGCCTTACTAAAAGTAGCAATGGGAATATTACTAGAATGGCAATGATTTCATTTGATTTGAAATAATCTAATGATCAAGGCAATTATTGCCTTTGTTGATGTTTCCGTCAGACAATTATTATGGTAAGTTAACCAAAAAGATGACTCATAAAATGGTACTAGACTCACTCTTTACAACTAGACTACAGGCAGTCCCCGGGTTACGTACAAGATAGGGACTGTAGGTTTGTTCTTAAGTTGAATCTGTATGTAAGTCGGAACTGGCGTCCAGATTCAGCCGCTGCTGAAACTGATCAGTCTGGACACCAGTTCCGACTTACATACAGATTCAACTTAAGAACAAACCTACAGTCCCTATCTTGTACGTAACCCAGGGACTGCCTGTATAACAAAACTGAAGGTAGTTGCTTAAAAAAAACCCAGAGGTGATAACTGTATCACCTTCGATACTACAAAGTCTAGAAGTGGGGGGGGTTTGAATCACAGTGGATCTTTTCAATAAAGTGTCTCAATAAGTTTTGGGTTCCCAAAACCCTCCCCCCCCCCCCAGTACAG